CAGGAATATAATTAAGACTTGCGTCTTTTATAATGTTTTTCTCACTTGCACAGCATACATTGAAATTAAGTCTGCTTCTGCTGGCGTATCAGATCTCTTAATAGACTCATGGTCAGGCATAGTTGTCTGACTGCTTTCTTAGCTTCTTCTGTTCTTATGTAATGGAACTTCTCTCAAATAAATTATATTATTTGCATTTCTGACCAATTCTTTCATCTCATGGTGATTCTGGGATGTAGGTGCTCAAGAAAATCTGAAGTGCCAAAAGAGGAGTACCTTTCTGTTTGTATAAATTAACACATTGACTTTAAAGAAAAGCTAAGTACATTTAATATTGACATCAGTCTTACTTCTGCTTCATAGTATGATCCCTTACAGAACAGCAATGCAAAAAGTAGTTGAACAGTACAGTTTGGCTTGTATTAATATTTAATCTGATACCAAAAGCACTTAAAGGAGCTAGGGATATGAGTCTTCTATTAGAAGTGGCTTCTTTGTTGCACTGAGCAATTACTACCCAAGTAAATGAAACCAAGAAGTTTGTTCTAGTATCATTAAGTTTTAAAAATTGTCCTGCTGGGAAAGCTTTTGTTTCAGTTTCTGTTTTTAAGAGTTGTTTCTTCAGAGTCAATCAAAAAGTAAGTTCCTTGATGTTGAACACAAGGGTACAAATTAAGGCTAATAAACTGATATTGAGTGAGTCGGAGATGTACTGATAAATGTGAATGCTTTTGGGAGCATTCTGCAGCTCTTAGCTGTGGAGGAAGCATACAACTTTCTAAAGAAAATAATGGAATCAATGAAACATCAATTATTAATGTTTTGATGTTTTGTAATGCCAGAAAATTGGAAGAGCTAAAGGAAAATCGGTATGTTGCCCCAGTCCCAGAGAATGATGAACCTACCCAAGGTTCCTCTAAAATTTGGGCTAGTCTACAAGCCGAGCCTTCCCCTGCTTTGCCTGCTCCCCTAGGAGCATGTGGGAAGGCAGTGCTGACAGGGTGATGTGAGGATTTCAGGTTTCTTTTCAAGTAAAATGGTGTTCCTCTCGATCATGAGAAAGCATGAAATGATTCCCATTGGGACTGAAGGAACTCATAGGGAAATGGATAAAAGAAACTCATAATGATGAACTCATAAGAAAATCTCATAATTTAGAATTATCCTGTGTTTTCTGGGGCTTTTTTCCTTATTTCTGACCAGTTGGGTCATGACTACTGTTTGCGTTCCTATATCGTGTTCAGTGCCTCATTGAGTTAGGCTATTGAAATGTTTGTGTTTGACCATACAGTTTGGCAGCAGCTCAGACCCCCATCTTAGTCTTCTGGTACAGTGGTGGGCTGCCTTGGGTTTTCCTATGCACTGCTATTGCCGGTAGCTATGGTTTGTGCACAGAACAGTTGCTCAGTGATTGATGGACTTCGCAGGGGTAGAAAAAGTAGGTATTAATGCTTGAAACAATCACCTGCATGCTGTTGTCCTCTCACATATTATACCTGTGGCTAAGGAAGCTGAATAGTGCCATATATTGGAATAACTCCTTCATTGCCCATTATTAATTACTGCAAATTGTGCATCATTTTCATGTACCAGTGAAACAATTTTTTTTTCTTTTTTCTCCCCTGCCTGCCCCACCCCCAAATTTTCTCTTAAAATCTTTCAAGTCACTTTTCCTAAAGTTTCAAACTTGCTGGAATATTTTAAACACTGAACTTCCAGTCTGAAATAAACCAGGTGCTCATTCATAAGTGAAGCCTTCACAGTTCCCTTGGTGTTCTGCTATCTAAATTCTTAGATGTATGTGTTCATGCTATACGGAACATTACTTTGACCATTAGCAGATAAGTAAGGTCCTGATGCTAACTGCAGGCTGTACAATTTGGATGTGCTCTTCTAGAGTAGCACTGTCAAAATCAATGAAGTAATTCTTTTTGAGTCCATCTGAGAATCTCTTTTTTTTTTCACTCCAGTTCTTGCGCAGACAGATGGTCTTCCATACAGCTGGAACAGTGTTTCATGCTGGTATCTTAGATCCCTTGAATTTTAAGGAGGTAGTGTTTATGCTTTCAATTGTCTTTTAATAAGTTTCATTGTGTTGCACGGCACAGCGGGTGGGATGATGATGTGGGTGCTTTATATACTAATTTTCTCAGTAATACTTTGCAGCAGTGCTTTAAACATCTAGTGATGTTATTGATTGGCATTCCATTGTTTTAAATATTGATAAGAAATTATTCATTTATTTAATGCATAATTTCTGTCACCTTGTTTTGGCTATGGAAAGAACTGATCTATTAACTCTAGCCACAATATTTATGGATAAAATCCTTTAGCTTTAAAATGAAAAGTAATTAGCTGTTGTCACAGTACTAATTATCGTACATACAGTATCAGCAGGGCTATAATCTATCTGTCCAATATGCATTCTACTCAAATTGCATTAATCATAACTTGCTTAAATGTTAGCAAATGACTCTACAAAGTGCTAGCAATAGCGATTCTTGCAGTCTAGAAATAATGAAGATGTAAATCACTTCTACGCATCATTGCTATAATATTCATATGATTGGATATGAAACTGCTGCATCCGCTTTTATACTAATATTTAAGATAGTTACTCTTTGTGATAGCAGCATGGTGTAGTATCTCAGTTTATTTCCAACTGCATAGGGCCATGTCATAATCAATTGAATTAGTGAATTTAGTTTTACTTTTTCAAACTAGTCATGAAAGTCAATGCCATTCAAGTATACTCTAAATTCAAATAACATTGTAGACTTTTTGAAGATGATGCTTTGCATTAGCATGCATGCTTAGACTAGAATTTATCCTATGAAATTCTACATGTTGAATATAATAGTTTTCAGGTTTAAGTGTGAATATTATATTTTCGCTTAGTGGAAATTGTTATGGTTTACTCACCTCAACAGTGGTATGCAATTTTATGGGACAATGTGTTGCTTCAGAACTTTATCTTGCGTGCACTTGTTTATATTATGCAATTTGCTTGATTCTTACTCTGCTTTCTTTGTGTTTGAGTCTGTATTCCTTTGCGTATTAGCAATACTGGCTGCAACATTTTGTGATCAACTGAAAAAGCAAACGCTCCTGCAAGCTTTAATGTCAGGAAGGGTAAGCATAGTTTATTAAGGAGACCACCAGCTCAAAACCTCTGTCCATATTTTTTCCCAGG